TGGCCCGGTGGGCTGAGAGCTACGAGGCCAAATGTGAGCGCCGGCAGGAGACCCGTGAGAGCCGCCGCTGCCGCCCCAACGTGACCACTTGCCGCCAGGTGGGGAAGGCGCAGAGGACCCAGCGGAGGGAACAGCTCAAGAGAGCTCGACAACAGCAGTTTTCCAGACGGAGGAACCTGGAAGTGGAGGAGAAAGGCAAGGCACAGAGCCCTGGGGCCAGGGAGCAAGGTCCCTCCAGAAGTGGGGGCCAGGCAACTGACCTCAAGGAGTCCTTGTCTTGGGCCAACAGGATCTCTTCCCCCAGACAGCAGGTGGGCCATGTCGAGGGACACACTGGTCTGGAGGGGATGGGGTAGTGGGTACAGGTGGGTGGGGTCAAGGTCACTAAAAAGTGATTTAAATGAAGTCCCTTCTTCCTCTGCCATAAAATAAATACGACCTTAGCCATTTATTCATTCAGATATTTTTGTTGCTGTGTTTTGAGGGATTTTTTCTTTAGCTATATTTTGGTTTTGCACTTGCCTTTTGGGACAGAAAAAATAATTTGAAAACAACTCCATAACAAACTCTTAATATTAGTTCAAATTTAGCCTATCTAAATATGTCTTCTGCAGCATTCATTCATCCATCACTCAAAAAACATTCACTGGGAGGGAGAGTATAGCTCATTGGTAGAGTCCATGCCTAGCATGCAGGGGGTCCTGGGTTCAATTCCCAGTGCCTCCATTAAAAAATGTAAGTGAATAAATCTAATTACCTATTCCCCTCTCCCCCCGCCCCCCAAAAAACAAACCCATTCACTGAATGCTTGTTATGGGCCAGGTATCTTCTTGATGCCCCTCCTTGAAACACCCACACACACACACACACACACACACACAGGCACACACACACATTTCTCTTCTCTGTTCTCTGTAGGGCTGCCACACCATCCACCTGCCCTCTTTCTCTTGGGCCACTCCAATTCGACTAGCTTCACTCACCTAAGGCCTCATCTGATCCAGGAAGCCATAGCTTTCCTAGCTTCTCCAGGCCACCTCTGCTCTCTGTGGTCCTTACGAGGTTATAAATCCTCTAATATTGTGTAGCTCTCAGAGGGCCCATTAGTTTGGCCTGGGAAGGAGCAGTGTTGGCAAAAATCAGGGTATGTTGAAATGACCCCAGCCAGCAAACCATCTGTGTGTCCTCCCACCCATGCTGTGGGCATGGTGACAGCAGGGATGGGGCCTCTGGACTCCCCGGAAGTGCCTGAGATTGTGCCGCACCCAGAGCAGGTGCTCTGGCAGGCCTTCCGAACCGGTGCCTCGGTTAGCCACAATAGGAGGCGCTGTCCACAAAAATGATCCCGGAGGCCAGTTGTAAAATAAAACCAACTGTGTACTTTCTAAGGCAAGAAGGTTTCTGAATGCTTTTGTTGAAAAATAATAATAATAACAGTGTTAAGGAGAAAAAGAACAGAAAACACAAGTACCTACAGAACTCCTCACGGTCCTATCAGTTATGTAAGGTTGATTGAGATGAGTTAGTCTGTGTGATTAGATGCCACAGGCATTTCTTAACTTTTCAGTGTTACATTACAAACATAGAACTGTTTAGTTTGTAAGAAGAAAATATAAAAATCGCAGACAAAATTGCAGCAAGTACCACTGCACCCTCCCTGCAGCTGCCTGCTCCACCTTCTCTTCACACAAAACCTCAGCAAGGTTCCAGCTACTCCTAAGAGGAAGGAAGCTGTCTGTAGAACACGGAAGGGACCTTGGGGATCACCTCCTCCAAAGTCCTCATTACACACACGGGAGACTGAGGCCAAGAAAAGGCAGGACCTGATCCCAGATCCCCTCACTCCCACCTCAGACCAGTTCTCTTCCCACGTCACCATGCTGGCTGTGTAAGAGGCTAGGACCAAACAAGGCAGATCAGTGGTTCTAGAGAGAGGAATTGGAGACAAGCCCAGGTCCCCAGTTGCTTGGCCAGAGGAGCACATTCCCACCGGCCAGGACAAGGGAGGGCAGGAGCAGGGATAACTTTATAGCCTGGAAGGCTTGAGTGGGTTATTTTGGTTTTCTGGACCTGAAACTTGATCGCTGGTTCATCTTTCTGCAGTCAGCTAGAGAATCCTGCTCTAAGAGTCTCTATCTAGGCTTTTAGCATCCCCGACTTGCCTTCCAGGTGTCAGGGACCAGCTCCCAGGTCTTTCCAGCCCAGCACCATCCTCCCTCAGGCACCTGGAGGGATCTAGCTGACCACCCCCCTCTCCAGGCTGGGAGCCTTCCACCACAGGACTCTCCCAACAAGAAGCCACCCAGACACCACCGCGGTAAGAACAGAGTCTCCCTCACTCACTGGGGCCTGCAGAGAACCTGCCAGGGCAGTCCCGGCTCACTGGGAAGTCCCACCACTTCACTCGCTGCCTCTCCCACAGGTTCTGAATCACTTTATCCCCTATCTCCCAGGCACTCAGACAAAGGGAGAAGAAACACAGCCAACGATTAAGAACGATGCCAGTCAGCAAACCAAGTGAGTGCCTTTCATGTTCCTGACCCCAACTCCCTCTCATCCCACCCACTCCTCTCTCCTAAGCTTTTACTTGAATACTCTCACCCAGAATGTGGAGGGGAACACAGTGAGCTTCCATCCCACCCTAATTAAGAAAGAGGAAGACCTTTGCCACCCTCCTGGCTCTTCAGAAGAGATCACAGAAGGAAGCAACCTACTGCCCCCTGACATGCGTGTTTCTTTGATCCACTGTCATTTTTGTTTTTATTTCTTCTCTTCCAGTTTTGGAGTCGCAGTTCTAGATAAGGTAAGGAAACCCTCCCGGTGAGGGTGTTGAATCAGACGGCATCTAAGTTCCTCCAAGCTCTGACATTCTGGAGTTCCTCGGTAAACTCAGCTGGGGTGGAGGGGAGTCCTCCAGCTGGATGAGCACAGATGTGGGGGCCTGGAGGGACTCTGAGCCTAGGAAGAAAGTTTACTCGACACAAGCCAATCCTGGCTCTGGGTCCACATTCCAGGACTTCAGGGGACCTACAGTCTTCCTGAATACCCTTTTTCTTTCTCTCTAGGAAATCATCCAGCTTTCTGAGTACCTCAAAGTAAGTGACGTGATCTCTCCCCTCAGCTTCTCCATCCATTTGCTGCCTTCCCCTCCTGGTTAACCTTATCCTCTTGAATTTTGGCCCCCAGGAGGCCCTACAAAGGGAGCTGGTTCTGAAACAAAAAATGGTGATTCTCCAGGACCTACTGACCACCCTGATTCGGGCTTCTGACAGCTCCTGGAAGGTAAGGGAATGAAATCTTTCTTTGAACAAAGCTCGTGGGTTTTCTATGTGTGCCCATCTTAGTCTTCTTTCTATACCATCCCAGCAAGAGAAGGGCCTCCTCACCACTGAGGAGGCCGGAGCTGGGGCATGGTGTACAGACCTAGAGGTCAGACGTGTTACAGTAAATACATGGGAGAGCTTGGTTAAATCCAGGGTCATCAACCAAGGGCCCTGCTGCTAACACCCAGGGAAGACCCAGAACCAAAAGGGGCAAGAATTTCCATTTTTTAATTTGTTGGAAGAAAAACAGAAAGACCCCAATATGGTTAATATTACTGACTGTGGTAAATGTCAACTATTTTTGAATGGAATTCACACCAACATTAACTCCAAACCGTCATGCACCAACTACTCAGCCCAGACATGGACGTCGAAGCAGGAAAGGGCTTAGAGATCACTTAGTCTAGTTTCCTCACTTTGCCGATGAGGATACTGAGTGTGGGAGAGGTCAGGGGATGTGTCCAAAGTCACACTGCTAGTTAGAGGCCGGACTGGCACTAAAATTCAGACCTCCTGATTTCAGTCCATTCATTCAGCAAATATGCATAGATCATGTTCTCTGTACTGAGCACTGGAAATAATGAGATTAATTAGACAGATATCTGCTTTCGGAGAGCTTGTGGTTTTGTCAAGGAGACAGACGCCTAAACAATACAGAGATGTTGAGAAGCAAAAGAAATGTTTCAGGATATAGTGGAATCCAAGGAGGAACGAATGACTCCAGAGACGGGGAGAACCAGGGAAACATCTGTAGTTATGTAAGTATTTTCCAGGCAAATGTGGAAACAGGAACTATATTCTGGGCAGGGGATACAGCACAGGCAAAGAACCAGAGCATGACATAGTCTAATGCAATGAGTCACCAGGTTTTAATCTCAGGACCCCTTTACACTCTTAAAAAAAAAATTAAAACCCAAATATACTTACCATTTAGAAATGAAAAAGAGAGTCTTAAAAGTAATAAATCCATTACATGTGAACCTAAATTATATATTTTTATGAAAAACAAGTATTTTTTTTAAATAGTGAGAGGAGTAGCATTGTTTTATGTTTCTGCACATCTTTTTCATGTCTGAACAGAAGACACCTAGGTTCTCCTATTTGCATCTATATTCAGTCTGCCATCAATACATTATTTTGGTTGAAAAATATGAGGAAAAGACGGCCTCATACAGACATGTAGTTGGAAAAGGAAGACCTTGCAGACCCTTAGAAAGGGCCCCAGGGATTCCTAGCCTTGAAAGCCCCTAGACTCTCATGTTCAGGGAGCTATACAGACATAAAGCCCGAAGTGCACAGGGAGAACACGCAGCCTCACCGGCCTCCAAGAACGTCTGACCTTACCACGGGGACAGCTGTGCTTAGACAGAGAGGTGGAACTGGAGGGTGTGGAACGAAACAGAAGTTTGCAGTGATGCAAAAAAGACTTCCTAGGCTCAGCCCTCACTCCTCACGCCGGTCACTGTACCTGGATTTAGGTGTCTATGTTCAGGGCACTGGCTGGTTAAGGAAGTCGTTTTCATAGCTGAGTGGGAGCCCGAGACAGACAGCTGCGTGTGCCAGGTGGTTTCCGGTCCTGAACTAAACTGAGATCGGCTCACTCGTTTTTTCGATAGACATCTGGTAAGTTCCAACTATGTGCTGGGCCACACGCTACAGGGACAGAAAGAAACAGGGTCCTTACTCCTGAGGGGCTTCCACATCAGCCAGGGAGAGAGAGACAGGTAGAACTCTGATGCGGTGTGCTCACGCGGTCACAGCACTCTCCACAGGGTGACACAGAAAGGCAAGGGAACAGTTCTTCTGCCCGAGTTGGAACAGGGTCGGCTGCAAAGGGAAGGGCTGACTTTAGCTGGGTCGGGAAGGATGAGCAGGAGTTTACCAGTACAGAAGCAGGAATGAGGAAGGGGAAGAAAAAGCAGAAAGGAAAAGGGTGCTTAAGGTCAAGGAGGCAGAATGATTATAGGCCTAAGTGTAACAAAGCACAGGATGTAACAGGCTGTGACTGAAACAAAGGGGTCGTGTCAGTGTAGCTCCAAAGATAAAAGTCCAAAATGGTCCCAGACAGGTCTCTAGAATTACGGCGCTTGAACGTTTTCTGTGGGATAGGGCATCTCAAACTGAAATACTTAACAGATTCCCTTTCAAGGAAAAAACGTATACAGCATGGATCCACGAGAATGCACGCCACCCTAGTTGGAGAACAACTGCTGCAGGCAATGAGCAGGGTCACCACAGGACCACGCTTTACGCAGGCGTGAAGCCCTGCACTCAGCAGGGTCTGGCCCACCCTCAGAAGGAGCTGGTCCAGGAGCTGTGCAGTCATGCTCGCTCTGGCAGCACAAGGACTGATACAGCTGTGGAGCCAAGCTGAAAGCAACTGATCAGATCTGCACTGTAAAAGGTTCCCTGACAACCACAAGGACCACGGCTCTGAGCAGGAGTGGGAGTAGGGGTGGTGAGAGCTCATGCAACATCTCAGGGAAGACGGTCAGAGCTTGAATTTCCAGAAGGTGGAGGGAATGGGGAGGGCGGTCTCAGCACCCCCCTCCAGCAGGGGAGCAGGGGCTCCTCTGGCTGCGGTTTTCCCCCTCCCTCCCCTCCCAACACCCACCCTTCTTATCTTCCTCCTCCCGACAACCCCAGTTTCCTGTTTTTAAGAAAAACAGTCTCAGATTTTTCATCTAAGAGCTCTTGCTTCTCCCAAAACAAGACAATTCAACCCCCTACCCATCCCGCGGAAGCCTCAACTTCAAGGAAAGGACAGTCCCAAACTGCAGCACAAACAGGGACTCTGACATTCAGTCAAGGGCAGGCCTGTATTTCTTCCATTTGGTCTCCATGATTTGAATCTTCAACTTCTCATGCAGAGAAGCTCACTGCAAACTCTGTTAGGACACCAAGGATCCGCTCCTGTTACCGCCCCCACCTCCAACCCGACCTTGGGCCTTGTGGATGGGACAGGCCCTGGGGGGCACCACACAGGTGCCTGAGCTGGAGCTGAGCTTCACAGCGGAAACGGTTCAGGCAGAGGAGAAAGCGAGCCCTCAGTGCCCGCAAGACAAAACCCAGAGCAGGGCACGCTTGGGTTTGGCTTTAAGTTCTGCAAAGTGGAAATGAGATCTTGAGATGACAGCACGGCGAGGGATTGGCTGCGGGCCCTGAGCGACCTCTGGGAGAGCAGAGAGGTGGACTGAGGGCTGGTGCTTCTGCGGTGAGGTGGTGGTGTTCCTGGAGGACAGAGCAGAGGCAGGGAAAAGCCAAGCAGAAGCTGAAGCTCTCAGACCGGCACCAGGTGTGTATGGCCCCCACCTCACTCCCTTCCACAACCGGGGGTACTGTGCTCTCTGAGCCCTGGGTTCCTGGGATGCCAACGCCAAAATGAGTCCACAATAAGCCTGTAAGAAGTGGTTCTTTCCCCGCACTGTACCATGGAGCTCCATGCGGGGAAAGCTGGGGCTCAGACCAGGAAACTACATGCCCCATTTGCAACAACTTGGCTGCAACTCTCCTGCCTGCCTTGGGGAGTCTGGAAGGCAGAGCTGTGGACCAGAGATGTTTTCAAGCCCCAGACTTGGGGGGCCCTTCCTCCCCACTGAAGGGCCTATCCTGGATTGTCTTCTATTGCAACACGAATGGAGAAGTAATCTGGGGTGCGGCTAAAATTACAAAAACAACTGGAAGAGGCAAAATATCGGATTAAAACCATAATAAAAAGGAAAAGGGAGCTACCCAGGAAGGGTAGGAGACTGGGGAAAATGTGAGACTATTGCCTTGGGCTCATCTGTTTTCTTCCCAAACTATAGCAAGATAAATCCTCAACTTAGGTTCATCCTTACCCGACTTAGGTCCAACCTTAGGGTTTGATTACATTCTGCCTGGTAAGAGTTTAGACAAAGGAAAACACAGAGTCAGAAGATCTGAACCAGGAGCTGGGGTGAAGAGGGAGTTGATTTCAGGACTTGTGGATTAACAATGAACAGGCCACTCAGGGGAGTAACTTTTCCCAGTTACTCCAAAGCCCAGAACAGTAGAAGTCTTTGTCCATCTCTTTTATCTGTCCCAAAGCCCTGTGGTTATTACGGATGCCAAATCCCTGACTCTCGGCTCTCACACGAGACATTAAAAACATTAATAGCAGGAGGCACTTTGAAAAATTATTTTTGGCAAAGCCTTTTGCTTTTGCAAGGCCCAGCTGGGTAATACAGGAAGCAGAGATGGTGGGGGCGCCCCCTGGCTCCCATGGTTAGGCGAATCAGCCAAACAAGATCAAAACAGGAGCTGTGAGAAACCACTTCCTGCCTCCCCCTGGTGCCCTGAAACTCACTGAGGGGGACAGACCTCAAAACAGAGACTCCTCTGCCCCAAGACCGTTACAGACCAGAAACGTTATAAGGGTGGAAACATCCAAGCTGCCTGACTGAGAGGGGCCATGGCATCTCAGACTGGAGGAGAAATGTCATCTCTAGACCTCACAAGTGTCCCACAGGGTCTGGCTGGAAAAGTTAGAGAAAGGATATGAAAACCAGTTACTGCTAAAGAGACCCAAGGCTTTTTCTCTGGGAAAGCAGCTCTTGTCAGTGGCACGCTCCCCTCTCCCCGACCTCCTCATAATAAAACTCAGGGCTGGGAGAACCCACCTCCAACCTGGGAAAAAGGGAGACATCTGCAGGCGGAGGAAAGAACAAAACAGCAAAGGAGTTGTTCGCTACTCAGCAGAATACTGAAAAACAGAAACAGATAAGGTCCTTCCTGCCTGCCTTTCTCCACCCTCACTCTTGAAATTAGCATCCCTCATGGAAAGTCCAAAATGCCACCAGACAAATCCAGCTTTTGAATAAGTAGAATCTGGCTTTCTGGGAAATCCTCTTACCACCTCCACCACCAACCAAACACACACACAAACACATACCCCACCTTAATCTCTCTCCTCTCTTTCCTGCTTTCTTAAAGAATTTCTCATCTTGAGTCTAGTGTGTGCGTGTGTGTGCACGCACGTGTGTGTGGCAGGGAGGGGACTGTGTTAGCTCACTAGGGCTGCTGTGACAAAGTACTGCAGACTGGGTGGCTCCACCAACAGAAATGTATTTTCTCACAGTTCTGGAAGGTAGAAGCGTGAGATCAAGGTACTGACAGGGTTGGTTTCTTCTCTCTCCTTGGCTTGCAAATAGCTAAGTTCTCCCTGTGTCTTCGCGTGGTCTTCCCTCTGCACGCTGATGTCCAAATCTCCTCTTCTTATGAGGACACCAGTCGTACTGGATTAGGGGCCACCCTGCTGGCCTCATTTCAACTTAATCACCTCTTTAAAGACCCTATCTCCACATGCAGTCCCATTCTGAGGTACTGGGGGTTAGGGCATCAACATACGGATTTGGGGGGGGGACAATGTAGCCCACAGCAGGAGGTGAGGGAGGGAATGCACGTTCCCCCTGGGCGGGGAGACCCCTTTGGTCTTACTGGCCTCTGGAGGTAAAGGTCCATGTACAGAAGTGCCTAGACAGACAGGGGGGACAGGGAATGAGGGAAGAAAAGGAGAGCTTGGAAGCTTTCCTTACAATGGACTCCTGCTGTGACACCCTGAGCCATCTGACAGAAAACCTCAAGGTACACAGAGAACTTCGGGGACCAGTCTGATTCTTCCTTCTCCTATTTCAGAGAAACAGGAGAATACCCCTTTTCCCAAACATCCTTTGTCATCTTTCCTCCTCCCTACCTCCTGAAAGAGCTCAGTTCCACAAACACCGTTTGAGCACAGACCATGTTCCAGGCAGTAGGCTGGGAATACAGAACAAAACTCTTTGCAACTTACGTTTTGGCCCAAACTCATTAACTCATCCATTTGCTCCAGGGTCAGCTGAATGAAGACAAGTTGAAGGGCAAACTGAGAACCTTAGAAAACCAGCTGTACACCTGTACCCAGGTAAGCATTCTGGAGGATACTTCTAGCCCAGGAATCCAGAATGAAAGGAGAGAATGCTTGAACCTCAATCCTACTCTCTAGAAACATCACCTACTAGAGATTAATGCACCCATTTCTACTCACCCAGTTCTGGCTTTGCCATTTTCACTTTGGTCTCCAATTCAAAACACTACCTCCATTCTCCTCTCCTTCTCTCCTTTGCACCCTGGGGAAGGAAGCCCAGCACCAAGCACTCTGCCAGCTCCAGGGAACCTTGAAAATACCTGGAAAAGTAGGGAGAGGCCCTTGGTAAAGATTCGCCCCACCTGAATGGAACTTCACTTGTCCCAGTTTTCGAACAGATGAGTTAGATGTTATAATGAAGCCGTGCAAAATGGTTTTCATTCCATGCAACTTTTATCTAGTGGCAATCCCTGAGAAAAAGTAAAAGACCGTGACTCTTGGCTTTCTGGGTTATTGTTATCCAGCTTCGGCAATCTTTTCATTGGCCTGATTCTGGATTATAAGAGATAGAAAGAAATCAGCTCTTATACTTGAGAAGTGATGGATATCTGACAGGGGGGAGATGGCAAATAAGAGAATGAGGTAGACCAGCCATACTGCTCCCACTCAATGTTAGGGAGATAAGGTGGCCACACAGAATCTTGCAGGGGAACACAATTTATAGTCTACGGGTTTGCTGATTCACAACTTTCATTTTTTCAGTATGACCTACTTTGTCAGGCTCTCATGAACTAAATAATGCCAAGCTCATAAGAGACACATATAATCCAGAATGCCAGCTACTCATCTTCAATGGGGGATAAAGCTAGCCAGCGACCAGCACGGTTAAGTCCAGTAACTTGGACTTACCCATGCATGACCTCAGCCCGTAACTTCCTGTACCTCATTTCTAATGACAAGTCCAAGGACATAAGACCCACTCAACATTTAAATCCAAATTTTCAGATGCTTCCAAAGCTAAATCGAAATGATTTCATACTTGCTCCTAAATTTGCATCATCTAGACTATCTCTTACCCACTTGGGTAATCCAGAAGTGACAGTAAAAACTTCGTGCCTTCCCCAAAATCACAGGGCATAAAAATGAAAAGCACGGGGAGGGCAAGACCCTCAGTGACTTTGCAAAGCTGCTCTTGTGTCATTTTCTTGATCCTGAAGCCAGGAGAAATCCTAAAAAATGCAAATGTATTAATCTTTTTTAAATTAATTGAGCTTACTGAGGATTGTTCAGATCCCTGAGGCTACAAAGATCATTTTATTTTTTAAAAAATGCTCTCTGCCTCCAAGGAATCTGCAATCCCTTAAGGGGAAAAAAAAATGAGTCAATAGATTAGAAAGATAGAGGTGTACAGGGGATACTATGCAAACACCAAGAAAAACTACCTCAGCCATAAAGATCTGGGGAACAGGCGTGGTTAGTCAAGTTGCTCAGAATTTATATGATTCTTGGGCTGAATCTTGAGCATGAGTACAAGTTAACCAGGTGAAAAGGGTGGGCCAGGATGCTCTAGGCAGAAGCAGCTATATGGGTAAAGGCAGAGGCTGGAAAGCACCGTGTTAGGGGATCTGCAAGCAGTTCAGCCTGGGTGGAGGCAGCATGGAATGAAAGTCGGGGCTTGTAAGTAGGAGCCACACCAAGGAGTCTGGACCTGATCCTCTGGACACTGAGAACCACTGAGCGGCTTATACAGGTTGTGACATGATCAGACTTGAATTTTAAGGAAGAACCCTCTAGCTGCAGGACTGAAAATGGTTTGAAGGGAGGCAAGACTTCCATACAATAGTGTTTTTACAGCCTGGACTAAGGAGGTTTTAGTAGGGATAAGGGATACAGGCTGACTTGGCAAAGCTCAATGACCAACTGATTCCTTGGAGAAAGTGAAAGAGAAACCAAAGATGATTTCCTGGTTTAGGGTTTGGGAGACTGGGTGGGTGGTGATGCTGGTCACTGAGTGGGTGAGGGGGCAGACACAACGTAGCCCATTGCTTCCTTCCTTCCTTCCCCAGGCAGGTTTAGAAAGACAATTTCCCTTTGGAAATGTTGAACTTCAAGTGCCTGTGGAAGGCCAAGAGGACAATGCCCAGCATGCCCAGGGCAGTTTATTACCCTCACTTGTCTCTCACATCACCTGAGGGGTCTCCCTACCCACCTCCAGCCTAGAAGAAGGTCCACCAGATTACTGGCATCTCTGCCCTGTGGGCAAGGACCAACATCTTTTCATTTCTATATCCCTGCTCAGGGTTTGGCACACACAAGCTCAGTGTGTATTTGTTGAATTGCATCAAATTTACAGAAATACTCCCCTGGGGGAATGAAAAAGGTGCTATTAGAGATGGAAGACCAGAAAAACAGCTATGAGCAGAAGGCCAAGGAGTCACTGCAGAAGGTGCTGGAGGAGAAAATGAGCGCCGAACAGCAACTGCAGAGCACGCAGGTGTGGGGATGCTGCACAATCCCTGGGGCTGGGAACCCTGGGGGCGGTCTGGGTGGCAAGGGAACCAGCTACACAGCTTCCTGGAACTCCCCAAGGCACCACCCTGTCCTCTGATCTCCCTCAGCGGTCCCTGGCTCTGGCCGAGCAGAAGTGTGAAGAGTGGAGGAGCCAGTACGAGGCTCTGAAGGAGGATTGGCAGACCCTGGGAAGCCAGCACAGAGAGCTGGAGAGCCAGCTCCATGTGCTTCAGTCTAAACTGCAGGTACCAGGCTCTGGGGGGAGGAAAGTCGAGAGGGAAGGCGGGTTTAGGGGAGGGAGGGGGTGACAACAGTACTGGAAGAAGCTGCTGCTGGGTTGGGGGCCCTAGATCTAATTTTGACTTTAGCAAGGATGTCTGCACTGCTCACACAAATAACCTAAGTGTTCATTAGTAACAGCATCCAAATGCAAAAGGTTGGCCTGGAATATTCATCAGCCTTCTGTCACATTCCAACCCACTCTCTGCATCCCATCCCAGCAAAGCATCCAGTTCAGAAATGCCCACTATTAGCACAGAAAAAATGTTACCGATTTACTTACAGGTTGAGTATCAACTAACACATCCTGCCAATGCGTTTTTTAAGCCATTATAGTAGACCCTTGGCTTTCTCAAGAGTGCCATCATTTCTGACCTGTGTTACCTTAGAGGAGGTAGCTACCCTTCTAAGCCTGTTTCCTCATCTCAAAAAAATGAGGATTACAACAGTACCTATGTCATACAATTGTTATGAGAGTTCAGTGAGGTAATCCATGCAAAGCATGTACGTAGCACAATGTCTCACATATATAAGCCCTCAGTAAATATTAGCTATTGTTTTTCATAGATTTTACGTACAGCGTTTAGAATTTTGAGGACCCATCTCAAAAGTTGCTCTTTATAATTTTACTGCAGCAGGGGTCTGAGGAGCCCATTTGGTAAGAGACAGAGGGTGAGTCTTATCATCAAAGGTGGGAACCGTGCTGCCCACTGCATTGCAACATCTCACCCATCACTGTTCTCTTCCCCGAATCACCTACAAGGCAACTCTCACAAAGGCCTTTTTCTTTTCAACTTAATTTTTTGTGAAAAATGACTCTATCCAAAAAAAAAAAAAAAAGAAGAAGAAAGAAATCAATAGCTGCTGAATTAGAAGTAAAGACAAAGTGAAGGCACCTAGAAAAGTGATGGTTTGGTATTCCTTAATTTGGGCATTTACCCAAATGAATCCCTTGTGAATATCAAGAATCTAATGCACTATTTGTTATTAGTGTGAGGAATAAAGCGAAGTGAAGTTTTTTTTTTTAACTTTTATTTTTCCACTTCCCTAAGACTTCTTCTAACTCTAAAATTCTAGTTTTCTACGACTGTCCTCTTCTTTGGAATCTGCCCCCCTACCTCCGCCCTAGCACTGATCTGCTTGTGTTGGCACCCCCTTCTCCTTCCAGGGGGCAGACAGTAGAGACTTACAGATGAACCAGGCCCTGCAACTTTTGGAGAATGAGCACCAGGAGCTGCAGGCGCAGATTGAACGTCTGCAGGGAGACAGAGACCTGTGCGGCACAGATACCCAGCACCTACAAGGTACCCTTCTCCTTGGGGGCCTCTGGCTGAGGGCGCCCAGAGAGAGGAAGCTGGGTGGAGAGGATTCAGTCTTTGACTTGTTTGTTAGGTTGACTCTGCGATTTCATTTTACCTTGAGGAAAAGGCAGGGCTGTTTTAATCATCCAAGACTGAAAATTAATTTCGCCACATTAGAGGATCTTGGAGCATCAGCTCTTTTCCAGCCCACCCTCCCACCACAGTCACGTGTGTCAAGGCCACGTATCCAATTTGAAAGGGAAAGGTCAGCTGAAACACAAAGCGTGGTAAAGGTTTCCCAGCCACAGCCTGTCAGCTGAGAGAGGACCAAATCACGTGCAGATGCAACCCTTAATTCAACCCACTGTTGATGCAGATGAAAACTGAGGTCGCCAGGTTCTGGTTTAGCTCTTCAGACCTGGGGCAAGCAGGAGAAAAGGCAACTTCCACTTGACCCATGTCAGACGCCATGGGCAAGACAGCAGCTGTGGCTAACCCCCATCCTCAGGTGTGGAGCTCATCAAGTCTTAGGTTCTTCTATTTCACTTTGTGTTATTTCATTTTCAGATCAACTAAAGAGGTCAGAGGAGGAGAGACTGGCCCTGGTGTCCAAAGTACAGCAGTTGCAGGGTAAGTCCCCTTTCCAGATTCAGAAAGTAACACGGGTGGTTTTTTGGTGTTCCTGGGGCTCCTGCCCCATAAAAGGCATCCAGAGGAGGGCTGGGGGCCCAGTCCTTGGCATGTCCTTTACCTGTACATTTTCAGACCCTCTTCTTGTGCAACGAGGTCACTCACATAGCTCTTCACAAGTTCCACATTAGCCTGTTTTTCTGTTTCCACTTTTCTCCTCCATGCCAATGACACCACCTGCATTTCCCCCAGAACTGCAGATTCCAATGAGTGTTGGGTTTTCTAAGATGGTTACTTGATATATTCTAACTTATTATGTACATGAATATGTCACAAAGACCACTGTCACTAGGAATGGTTCAGAAAATAAGCTCTCATGACATATGCCTCAGGCCAATTGAAAACTACCTCAAAACTCCATACGGGGGCCAAAGAGGAAAAGGACCATTTCAGAAGAAAAGCAAGCAATTTCTGAAAAGCTGGAGAATCCGAATCAATTAATAGCTCTGCTGGGTGCCCATCACCTTAACCTCTGACACCCTGACCGAGAAGTTTCCTGCAAACAGCGATGGACATGAAAAGAGCAAGGCAACCACCAGGGAAAGGGAGAAAGAAAGAACCCCAGGGAGAAGCCGGGCTCCTGCACAGTGGGAGTTGGATGGGCAAGAAGTCACTTCAAAATCACAGCTTTATTTTTTCAGTACATATTTATTGAGCCCCTACCAAGCGCCAGGCTCCCTAGACACACCCTGAGGGGACAGTAAGGAACAGACTGGCGCGGTGTCTTCACTGACGAGGCTTTCATTCTTAGTGAGCACTCCAGTGGAGTATGGAGTTTCTATGAACAAATGACTATGTGTCCAGCATTAATAACTGCTACAGAGGAAAAAAATAAAGCGAGTTAAAGAGAAGACAGTTGCTATTTCACACAGCGTCATCTGGGAAAGCCTTTCTTCTAAGGTAACATTTAAGCAAAGACTTAAAGGTAAAGACATGTAGGAAGACATATAAGGATGGTGTATTTATAACAAATCACCACAAATTGGGTGACTTCAAGAACAGATATTTATTTTTTTCACAGTTCTGGAGACTAGAGGTCCAAAATCCAGGTGCTGGGCAGGCTTGATTCCTTCTGAGGACTTTGGGGGAAGGATCTGTTCTAGACCGCTTTCCTTCGCGTGGAGATGGCTGTCTTCTCTGCCTCTTCTCGTGTCTTCTATTTATGCATGTCTGTGTCCATGTTTCCCCTTCTTATAAGGACGCCAGTCATGTTAGAGGGGGGCCCACTCTAATGTCCTATTTTAACTTGATTACCTCTAAAAAGAACCTATCTCCAAACAGGGTCACATTCTGAAGGCCTGAGGATTAGGACTTCAAAATATGAATTTGGTGGGGACACAAGTCAACCAACTACAGATGAGAACATAATTAATAATTAAGGTTCTAAGCGAAGCTCTGAAATACACTCTTTGCAGTAAACATGCTAGCACAGACAAGTTCCTTGTGTTTTCCAACAGGTCTACTTCAGAGTCAGTCCGTACAGCTTCAAGAACAGGAGAAGCTCTTAACAAAGAAAGGTCAGCAAATTTATTTCCACAAATTCTAAGATACTGCTCTTTCTTTTCCTGCCTAGAGGCAGGGGGGATGGAGCTACATGACCTCTTGGAGGCCCAGCCAGTTCTGGGAGTCTGTTAGGTCAGGGAGCTGGAGGAACTTCTTAAGGACTCATCATTGGTTCTGAGAACATTTTAACTAGTTAGCCTCCTATCCTGAGAAGTATATACACTGTGAAAAGGATTTCTACTCCCTCTGAAAACATGTCTGTGTTGACCATTTCAATAAATTGATTTTGAACTCAGGATTTTATGTCAATTTTTACACTTGGCTTTCCAGACCACACCCAGCTCCCCAAGTATAAACTGTATCACATGCAAGTCTCCTCACTCTCAGCCCTCAGTCTGCTGCCTTAGCTCCCCGGAGAAGAACTCATATGTATCTGGAGGGGGCAAAAGCGCCTCACTTACCCCTGCTCATGGCCTTTTGTTTTCTTATCATAGTCCCTGAGTAAAATAGAAGGCAGAAAGTATTATACCCACGTAGTATGAAAAGTATGATAAGAAAATGTATTTTCTTATCCATAAATGAAGGTCTGTGGTCATACAAATTAAGGACACAGCTACGACAACAATCCAGAATTTCTGACTCCTAGTCCAATGCTCTCTTCACTAAGATTAAGAGTGCCAGGTGGCTGAAAGCTATCTTTAACTACATGAAGATGGATTCTAGGATATGACTGCCATTCTCATCATTTTGAGATGAGGACAGAAGGAAAAAGGAGTTATACTGAAGCATCCAGCAAACCAAGCAGACAAAAGGTGTGAATGCAACCAAAGAAATTAAATTAATAAGTAGTCTCTAAAAGTACCTCTAAAAGTACCTGGCACTAGTCAGGACTAGGGGTACAAAGAAAAGTAAGATGCCAACCTTGCCCTCAAGGGGCTCAAATTCCAGCTCTCTGTTCAGGCTGAGCCAGGTCCCAACAGTTCTTTAAAAGTCAGAGAATTGCATTCTTCGCAATCTGGCCAGGGACAGGCCCTTCCTCCCGCCCCTTCCTCTCACCCCCAGGGGTCCTCTCAGGGACGGGGCCCTTTCCTCAGAGGTGTGGGTCTCACTGTCACGGAGAATCTGGCTGCTTTTTTAGATCAGGCTTGGCCCGTGTGGAGTCCAAAGCCCTCCCATAACGAAGTGGAGCCTGAGGGTACAGGGAAGGAGAAAGACTGGGATATCAGAGACCAGCTCCAAAAGAAAACCTTTCAGCTCCTGGCCAAGGAAAAGGAGGTGAGATGGTGACCTCAGATAGTGAGGGGCTTATCCTACAGAGATAGGGGAAGTGTCAGGAGGCAGCCAGCAGCAGGCATTTCATAGCTTAAAGTGAGACTGGATGCCTGCATGTGTTCACTGCCCTCTACAAAACGGCTTTGCTTTCAGGGTAGCTTATCTTTTCCCTTCCTTGTTTATACCAATGCTTATTCAAGGTTTTACTAAATAGTTACCTTTTAGAGTCAACCTAAACTCAAACACTGTTATAAATACATTAACACTTCAAACTCTGTCCTATATTGAGTATCTTAAAGCTTTATACAGTCTTTTAAATAACAAAACCCCTCTTATCTACATACTCACAAACATACATACCTCTGGAAGTATTTACTGCAACTAACTAGCTCCTGGCAAAAAGACTTGCACTAAGATCACTTCCAGGTCATCTGTGTTGTAAGAACTTCATTTTGAGGTGTCCCCATTTACAAAGAACTTGCACATATAACTCTCACACAAAAGCACTTACATGCATAACTTATACTATAATATGCATTATAATCAATCATTTAAATGAACAGATTATGGATAAACTAGGTGAGACAGACAAAAGGCAAAGCTCTGAGAAAGGCTGGGAAGGGAGGAGGCGGGTAAAAATTCCACATGAGTAACAGGGTAACTTGCACAGGGCCCTCTCCTACCTGGGCTCTGTCGCCAACACGGCTGGTAGTGATGACCTTGGTGGTGTTCTCCCCTAGTGCAGAGAACTGCATTCAGAATTAGACAACCTCAGTGACGAGTATCTCTCCTGCCTGCGGAAGCTGCAGCACTGTCGAGAAGAGCTGAACCAGAGCCAGCAGCCGCCTCCCAGAGTAAGAGGGTCTATCCTCCCGTGCAGCCCTACAAGATGCGCGATTCCTCCTTTAGCGAACCTTGCCAGTAAAATTGACCAGCTGTGCCAACATCTGACCAGCCTGCCCCGTGCAGCTTGGTTTATACTACACTGACAGGATAGCAGCTACGGAGAGAAACACTGGCTCACACATCCAAGCCTAATTATCATGGAACTCTTGAGCCTGAAGGGAAAAACTTACTGTTAGCTAAAGCATGAAATGGTGTTCTCGTAGCCTATTTTGAGCATAGTGCAAGGACAGAGAGAGGAGAGCAAACGTACTGAGGAATATAAACAGAGAGTAATACAATTTTGCTCAGTTATTTTCCACTTTTGATCATTCATATCAGTATTTAAGTATCTGGCCCCTGCTGACTGTGGTTCCCTGGGCCAGTAATCCTGGCTTACGGGCCAGTGACCACTGTTTTATCCCAAGGAATGTGACAAAGTAAGAGGGACAGTGATGTAAAAGGCTTTTTCTCCTCCACCAACCCAAGGTTTTTCACTGGGCTAGAACAGGACAAAGGAAGATTATTTTTGCCTGTATCTTTTCTGACCAGCCCATGGCCTCTTTCTCTTTTCTCCCTCTCCCTCCTCACAGAGCCAATGTGGCCGATGGCTTCCAGTGATGATGGTCCTGGTTGCTATAGCACTGGCAGTGTTCCTGGCCAATAAGGACAGCCTGATGCTCTGAATAACCTATGACGGCTGCCTTGGATGGAAATCAGAAGCAAGAGACTCAATTAAAAACTCAGATTTGGGTACTTTAAAGTGTGGGTTTTTCCAACTCTCCTGAGATTTCTGACTTTGTTATTATTTTTTTAATACTGTAAAAATAAACAAACTTCACCTATGGTCTCTGTTCCTCAGAACTCTGTTTATTCCTGAATGACACATCACATCACAAATATGAGACACTTAAGCATCCTGGTCTACTCTCCCTAGTCCAGTTCAGTTGGAGGTATATAAGCATACAGTAACGCCCAGTCCTTCTACGTGCTGGCAGACACTACCCACACAGGGCAGGTGTATTTACACTACCATTGAACGGTATACTGCTTCTCCTCCATCACCCTCCTTCTTCTCCATGGTCTCTCTCCCTCCATCTCCTATCCAGTGAAAAATGAACAGACACGTCAGCTTAGAGGACTCCTAACACAGAAATAGCAAACTGACTGCAGCATTCTTCCTAGTGTTCTCAAGATGCTCAGAATTGGCACTTGAGATGATTCCTATTTGCCGTCCTTGATCTACAGCTGATCATTTACTGAGTACCTTCTACACAGGAAAAGAGTTACAGTCAGAGGGCCACAGCCGGCAGTGTGACTATCTCGGAGGAGATGCTGAGGTCAGTAAAGTCATTCTGAGTCCTACAGCGAGTTCTAAGGTCCTTCTCCCAAGTGTTTAGAATGTCCCTCAGGGCCAGGAACAAGCTCTCTGGGACACTAAAGGAGTAGAGCAGGACTGGTGGTTGATCGAGTAGCCATAAGATCCGGGCAGTAAACACCCGTAGTGGAGTCATGGCTAAGCAGTTGTCTTCTCTCTGGTTCAGGTGAAAGGTATAGGGGACAGGATAGCCCAGGAGGATCCCAAACACAGTACAGAGATTCCAATCTGAGCAGCAGAGCCTGCTGCAGGAGACTGCCAGGGATTGGTCCCTCTGCAGCCCCTGCAAATGTGTGATGATCTCAGCCACGGGGGCCTTCAAGGCCTGAAGCTGATCCAGGGAGCAGATGGAAGGGTGAGGTTGAGAGCTGGAAACATCCACAAAGGCTATGGGACCAAGCAGCACCTGCTCCAAATGTTGACATACATGCTCAGGACTGACAATCAGGCTGTTTTCTCCAATATCAAGGATGTGAAGTCCCTGGGTCAGGAAGCTCAGGCCTTGCAGTGCCTCCAGATAGCTCTGGAGCTCTGACACCCCTGCACAGTTGCAATCATACAGCAGAGCTGGCTTCAGTCCCCGGGCCACAGCCAGCACCTCTCCAGCTAGGTGAAGGCAGACAGCTCGGGGTAGGCCCCGTCTCCTTCCCATGCCCAGGGTCTGCTGAGCAGCTGCCACCAGCAGCTGAGGACTTGGTGTTGACATGGGATCTGGAAGCAATATTAAGCATGGCCTCCTTCACTAGCCACAGTTCCCTCCCCTGGGCCGCATCTCTGACTCCAGACACTTGAAGAAGGGCCTAAAAACAAAGCAGTAGCAGGGGATTACTAACACCAATGACATACCAGGAAATCTGCCAACAGCCTTCCCTTAAGTCTTACAGCATCTTCCAGGGGTCATTTTCCCTCCTCGTGCTTTGGAATGCTAACCCAGCCCAGACAAGATGGGGCCACCAACACTACCTGATTTTTCAGTTGACTTAAGTCTCCATTAGTCTCAAATTCATGAGTCTTTCTGAACTTATGGCGAGATTTATACTCTCTCTGGCTTCCAGGCTAAATTTTACCTGTTGTAATTTGCTTTCTCTGATTCAAACCGTAAGGAATTTGGGGCAGAGAAGAGGCAGGACAGTCTTTGGCAATATTCAGAGCATTTCACCTAAAATTGCCCTTTGAGAGACAGTTCTAAGTTCCAAATGCACTCTTTTCACAGCCAACTTCCCCTTCGCTTCCCGCCAGGAGTAGCTGTAAGAATAGCAATCTGATTAAACTATACACTAGAAAGTGGACTACCAATCAACTCACCCTGAGGCATAAAATAAGTGAAATCGGTTAGAACTGCGAGAGGGTTGTATTTTAACTTCTGCGGGCCCTGCCTTCCCCTTCTGATGGACATCCAGGAGCCTCAGAAGATGGGCCCACTTCAGCCTCCACAGCCTCCCTTTCCTGAGCTTAGCATAGTGATATGTTAAACGGCAGAGGTCTCTCACACACACACATACGTTCTTCTACTTCCGCTGCAGGTTCGCGGGCTCAGGAACTCCTTCAAGTTTCCTGCGCGCTGCCAGGAAGGAGGCGAGTCGGCGGCGCGCAACCGCAACGGTGCAAATCACGCCGCCATAGGAAAGCCCCTTACGGCCTACCGGCGATCGGTCGGCGAAGTCGGTCCATTGCGCATGCCCGACTCATGCGTCGTCCCCCCGCCTTCCGTGACGTCACCCAGTCCACTCGCGCGCCTCGCCTTAGAACCACCGGCAAGGAAGTGCGCCTGGCATGCCGGAAGTGTAGGTGCTTGTGCCCGCCCCTTCCGGCCAGACAGATGCCGGCCCCGCCCGCCTGCGTAGGAATGAGGAAGGGGCGGGAGTGGACGAAAGGAGGCGGGACCTGGCGCAGCGGGTAACCGGCTGCCGCCCTCGCTCGGCTGGGCCCTTGGCCCTGCTCCACCCTTGGGTTAAGTCTGGCGTCCCATTTAATGCGCAAGCGGGGCACAGAGCGTTAAAACACCCTTTGGTTTGTCTCTGGAGAAATGTATTTTCCCCTCCAAACGAAAGTTATCTCAAGACAAGCGACGTGTTTTGCATAATATCCTCACCTGCGGGTAGTGCTGCAAAATTTTGTTGTTGTTTTTACTTTGATCTGTCTAAATCCTAAATTTGAGAGGCTGAATTCCGAGAAGTGGGTGGACAAGTGACCTGGCCAAGGTTTGCCGTCTCTAGGCAGGGTGTGAAGGGAATGAGTATTCACCCAACAAATATGTGTTAGGCACGCTTCTAGGCGCTGGTGTTATCAAAGCCTATAAAACAGATTAAAAAACCCCACCTTTGTGGGGCTCAAGTTGTAGGAATTCAGTTTGCTGACTTCACATAAGGCAGAGATGCAGAAGCTTTTCAGTTAGGTCATTAAGAAGAAAAAATGTTCTTTCACCTCTTTAATTCCCAGCAAAATGACCCATACCACGAAGGGAAAGAATTTCTTGAGAAAATTCCTATGTGAAGAAATGGCCCAAATTTACTGATACATGGGCAGGGCAGAGGCTAAGGGAACTGCGGGCACGTATACTGGAAGTTTCACTCCTGGCTCTACCTTGGTGGTATCTTCAGACTGAAAAAGGACCACTGTGGAGTAAAGGTGGGGCCAGCCTGGAAGGAGGACCAGCTTGTAGGGATTCCCACTCTAACGTTGATTCTTAGCTCAGAGGCAGTCAAAAGCAGAGACTAGAAACTAATTTTAGAATGTCTGTGTTACTCGTATTTATTTGATTTTTCCATGGTAGTTAGCAATCAGTTCCTAAAATGAAAGACTTGTTTAGTTCATTTATTCTAACAATAAATATTTGAGAACATACTATGTACCAGACACTGTGCTAAGAGGAGCAAAGTCCAAAACAAATAGTCCCTACCTTCAGCAAGTTTGTAGTCAAGCAGGACACAGATGCTGAGCAATTAGAAGGGAACTGATTATTCTGAAAGAGGAAGTATAGGGTGCTATGGGAACATAAAGCCAGGGACCTAGTTTTATGGGCAAGGGACCAGCCCAGGTCCAACATTTGCACCCCCAATTTACACCTACAGCTAATCTAGGTTAGTGGGGAGGACAGTGAAGGAAATGAAAAGCCGGTGTCACCATCTAACTCCCTTCCCAGTCTTAAGCAAGGTGAAGGTAAGGAAGTAGAAAACACCAAGAGAATGAGTGGTGGGGCTTCCAAAGGCAATAGCAGACAGTTTCCAAGAGAAAAAGGACACCTGGCATCAGGACCAGAGAAGGAGCACTGAGGGAGATCAGTGGAAAGCCCTGCGTGCACTCTCCCCGTGTTCTTTTCTGAAAAGGATAAAGAAACAAGGAAGAAACTATGATGCTATTGTGCTAAGAGCAGCAAAGTCCAAGGCAAACGGGCCCTACCTTCAGCAAGTTTGTAGTCAAGCAGGTACTGAGTTAAAACCACTCATCCATTCCTCTGATATATTCATAAACTTTCCGTTAGAGTCACATACTAGAAGTTCAATCCTTCTTGGCACTTAAGAACACTTTTCTACACTTTGTCAGTTCACATTATCTGGGCCCCAATCCAGATGGACAGCCTGGCTGTTAGCATCTCACAGAATAACGGGAAGGGACCAGCGTAGATCCCACAGCTGCTCTCCCAATTTATTTACTGCGGGTTCTTTTTAACTTTGAGTTATGCAGATACAGACAGAGGCAGCCAGACATCAAGACCAAATCCCTCACTTCACCCACTCAACAAAATGCCCCCCAAATATAAAGTTTCTATACCTTGCCTGTCTCCTGCTCTCTAGAAGCCCAACTTCTGCTCACAGCTGAGCACCCAGTTTTCCCTTGGTCATACTTTAGCAACAGCATTCTCAGTAAATAAGTCCCATTGCCACCTGTGATCAAGGGGAGCTTATGGTTTTTGAAGTAAAGCTGGCCCAACTTTTCAGCTAGCTCCACTTCGGGAGCAAGTAGGAGGTGGCTTGGTTTAAGGATAGCAGACCAGACATGGACTTTCTTAACATGGCACAAATAGGTATCAGTATTCCAGAGGACAGGGGCCTGCAACCAGAGATTAGCATCTTGCTTTCCATTTAGGTCTTCAAGTTTAAATTACATATAATTTCATCTTAAAAAAGAAAAGAGCAAAAAGGTCAGAGACCAAACAAAAGTAAATACATCAGACCAGTTGGTGGCAGTCATCACTGCCATGTTCTACACCAGTCTTCACCATAATGGTTCCCACCCAGCTACCTTCACCAGGAAGGGAGACAAGCAGGTTTGTGCTAGGTGAGCCTTTCCCAGAAGAGCACTGCTCAGCCAGCACATTCAACATCTCATTTTTCCCAAGTGCAAAAAACCCAAGTGACAGGAAGACTGGAAAAATCTCCATACAAGGGGGAATGGTCCCTGTTTCCTCTGTAGTCAGAGGAGTTTGTTCTGGATGCCCAGCTCACTCCCAGGTCTTCCTCAAAGAAGGAAAAAAAGAGAAAGAGAGCTCTCTCCTCTTCGAAGGCTATCACCAGGTCTATACTCTCATCTACCACACACACACACAGCGGTACGGACATATCTCATTTTATTGTGTTTTGCTTTATTGCAATTTGCATATCCTGTGTTTCTTACCAATTGAAAGTCTGTAGCCAACCTACATCAAGCAACCCTATTGGTGCCATTTTTCCAAAAGCATTTGCTCACATCATGTCTCTGTGTCACATCTTGATAATTCTCACAACATTTAAACTTTTTCATTATTATGTTTGTTGTGGTGATCTATGATCTTGGCTGTTACTATTGCAAAAAGATTACAACTCACTGAAGGCTCAGATGTTGGTTAGCATTTTTTAGCAATCAAGCATTGCTTAATTAAGATATGCACATTTGTAGTTTTAGACATAATGCTATTGCACACTTAACAGACCACAGTAGAATGTAAACATAACTGTTATATGCACTGGGAAACCAAAAAATTGGTGTGACTTGCTTTATTGCAATATTCACTTTATCACGGTGGTTCAGAACTGACCCCACAATATCTCCGCTGTATGCCTGTATTTGAGAGGCGACAAGTTGCACACCTGACAACCAATTCTTCTACAGAATCCCTACGCCTTCTGTGTCAACAGCTTCCCTTTAGAAGCTCAGTTTATGAGCTTTTACTCCACAGGCTGGGTGACTTTCAGACTTTGGCACCGATTTCCATTTAGATATCAAGCCTGGTTCCTAAGCAACCAGCCGGCACCCCTCCCTCTCACTTCCCCCACCACAGACCGGGCTTACTATACTAGCAAAACAGGTCAAAGGGAGATCAATCCTGGACAAATCAGTGCTTGAGGGGACTTTAATGAAAGCAAGAAAAAAATGTGGTGTAAGAACAAGGCAGAAAGGTTCTGTTCCAGGCAGTTTTGCCTTGTACAAGGAGAATGAAGTCAGCAAGTCAGAGTTTTAAAGCTGGCATTATTTCAGGCATCATTCCAGCTCCTTCACTTGAACAGCACTGAATCTGAAGCCCAGAGGTTAAATGACCTGGTTCAAGGTCACACCATTGGGAACAAAGCTGCAGCCAGAACCCTGGTATGCAAACTTCCAGGCCAGATTTCCTTCTACATTACACTACCATTGGAGGTTTAAAAAAAAAAGTATGAAGGGTTATTTTTTCCATAAATTAAATCAACTTTCAAGCTAGGCATATTTGGAGAGTCAGAGAGTACTAGCATTGTTAGAAAGAAGAAAGGTTTAAAAGCTGGTTAAATCTGAATAATAAAAAATATCCCTATGTACAATATTGTAAAAAAAGAAAAAAAGAGAAGGAAGATGGCATTCGTGATTACTGGGCCGGCAGGGCAGGGGGCAGCTGCATGCTGGGGGTGGGCTGCATGGGCTGCCAGCTTTCCTGGGTTTGGAGGATGCGGTACAGCTGCTTCAGCTGAGCAACAATGTTATCCTTGATGTCTGGAGTTGAGATCTGCAGGCGGACACTGCCACTGTCAAAGGATCGTGTGAAATCACCAGAGAACATCTCATAGATCATCCGAGCCACCACTGGAATGACCTGTTCAGAACACAGAGCACACCAGTATCTACTGATAAAAGGGTATTTTTAAACAGCAGGAGGAACCCAAGATTGAACGAAGGACCAGTGAGTCCATGGGGAAGCCCCCTCCACTCTTAAGGTCTAGATGCAGAATATGCCTTCATCTCTCTGGACTATGCTGCCAAGGTTCCCTTTAGAATTTGGTTCAAATGAAGGTAAGAACCTAGATGTAGCATCACATCATATGCCTAAATAAATAACTGCTTCTTTAGCAAGACTTTTACCCAAATTTCATCTATTGTCTGTCCTGTTGCACACATCCACAGCCAAATCCAAGTGGTCTTGCTGCCATTTCCTCGAATAAGAATATGTTCTTAAAAGTTACTCAAAAGGTTTTTCTACAAGAGCTGGAAAGAGTCATATCCTGTTAGGTTTCAGCAAGATTCCAATGTCAGTAAGAGAATAAGGTCTCCATTGAATTAGGTATCCCTCCACTTTGAGGACCCAGTTTTCTCCAGCCTGGTCCTACTGTACAATGTACAAAGCTTGAGTCGCTACCCATCTGATGGGATTAAAACTCACCCAGGCTGATGGCTCCTCGCGCAGGGTTCAATCCCAGACCTAGAGGCTAAAGCACTGATAGAAAGGCAAAGAATTGTTGACACATTATTATCTTCTCACCTGAACCAAGATGAGCTTCCTTTCCAGGGGTTTCCCATCTGGCCATTCTTCCCCAAAGCATAAGTAGATCTCAAACGGTGGCTGCTTCTCTATCTGTCCTTTCTGGTGGGCAATAAGATCTGCAGAATGTGGAAGAGCAGTTAAGTGTACCACGTCATTCCATATCTACTCAGTAAAGACCCTCTTTCATGCTGTCCAGTATAGTAGCTACTAGCCACATGTTGGCTAAATAAATCTAAATTAATTAAAATTAAATACTTTCTTAGTCACATGTGTCACATTTACATAATAGCCACACGTGGCTAGTGTCCACCGTATTGAACAACACAAAGATAGAACATTTTCATCATTTCAGAGAATTCCATCGGACATCACTTAGACTAGACATGGGGTTCAAATCACACTGGAAAAGTCACATCTCAGTGCTCTCCCTAAACATGTCTGCTTGAATTTGCCACTCAGATATGTCCCAAATGAGAAGAGTATATGTTTTGCCGATTTTGATGAACAGGGTCACCCTCCAAAGTTAAGGAGAAGCTTGTAGAATTTGGGGAGCAATGGCAAGACTGTCTCCCTCTTCTGGCAATAAAGGAGCCACAGCCAACCTAAAACTGGCTTCAAATACATAGCTCTGCAGTGGAACAACCTTCTTTGTTGCCCAGGTCACTTTTAGAGTCAAGGTTCTCTTCTACCTTGACTTCCTGCAGAAGAAATTTCTTGGTTAAGATCTTTGCAGAGCCAGGAAAGGGGGGCAGGAAGGAGGAAGACATACTTCTGGGGAGCAGTTCCCATCCTCAATCATCTGAAAAGACTCACCACTAAGGAACGTTTCCAGACAAAATAGCTTGACCTTCTTTTGTCTCTCAATCAGGTTGGGGGCAACAAGCGATGGGGCACATGGCCCAGACCAGTACACCTTGCACTGGCACAGCCTGATGGCATAAATGGCATGACCGCTGACCTCCAGGATCAGTCCTCTGTCCATGACGTCTAGCAGCTTGCTGGTGAACAGCTTCTGCTTCTCATTGGTGATATGCTCCGGACCTGGGAACTTGACCTGCTCCAGGCTGACGGGACCAAAGAGCTCTTCCTGGTCAGGCATGGGACCCAGGTCTCCATAGAAGAGCCGGCAGCCCTGGGGGTTGCTCACGGTCATGGTCTGCCCATACTCCTTCCCACGGTACTGAAACTTGATGTCCAGGTCAGTCACTGCAAGGTGAGAGAGGACAGTGAGACTCCTGACCTGCTGCTCTGCCTGTCCATCCCTAGGACTTCTGCAGGTCCGTCAAAATCAAGCCACCTTTCAACCAGCATTCAGGAAGGCCACTGCTATAGTTATCCTTCCTGGAATAAAGGGAGACATCAATACATCCCTGGAATGGTCACTCAAAAGGCTGCCTTGAAGCAAACAATTCAAAGTCCATCTATACTATCTCTGTTCAGTCACCACACCCTAATAGCTAGAATTTCTCCAACCAAAGTGCTGGGTCCTGATCTCCCCATTTTGTAAGGACTGAGTCTTCACATCACTAGGCACTGGAAGGAGCTAAAAACTAAGGCACCTGGTTTGTGTACCATTTTGGGCTCACTGTTTAAAAACACAGGAGGAACAAGAAGAAATACCAAGCCATTTTTCTGAAAAGTATACATATGAGCACTCACTGTTGATCTCTGCTAAAAATAGATCATAGAAGGACATAGTTCACAGCAAAGTAAATTTTCACTCAGCAAGTGTACACTGAAACCTTTAAGTCTTATCAAAGTTATCAGCCTCTTGGACAAAATGTTAGTACTCACACCACCCACCACGTGTACTGTGAAAGGGAGATGGAGCAATGGCATTGATTCTTCACTGAGCTGTATCTGCCCAGTTCAGAAAGAGATTTTCTCTGGGTCCTAAAGCCTCTCAAAATCCAAGAGCCTCCTTGACTAAGTCCAAAGCCATTAACTTCCCTATCCCACAACTGGCCTTGTCCCCAAATGCCCTAGCCAAACTGATAAACCCAGGCCTTCCCACCCACCCAAGAGGTGAATAACCAACAGCTGCACTGCAACCAATCAGAGCACCCCGGGGTCAAGAAGGTATGGGCTTGTATTTCTTTACTTCTTCCCTGGTGACTCATCAGCCAGCCAGGAACCAGACATAGAGGCTCCCTGGGGGACTATTCTGTACAAGGCAAAGACACAGAGGCAGAAGGTGGGGCAGGAAATGGACTATAATAGGAGCTGAAGACCCAGCTAGAAAACCAAGGCTCACTTACTTGGGAGGGAGCTGATCCACAACTCCGGAGAGCTATAGAAAGGCTGTATGGGTGCCTGGGGCACTTCCATCTCCAGAGGCTCGGTTTTGGGCCACACTGCTTCGGGGCTGCAGTTGCCCACGCTGCAGTTGCCCACACTGGCTGGTGCCATGGGAGAACCTAGAACAGAGGGATGTGGGTGAGCAGGCAGGGGCAAAGCACACACGCACATCAAAAACCTGAAAGGTCAACTTGAAAGAGTCCCACGACTCAATGTGGCAGCCCGTCAATGATTCCCCCAACAAACACAAAAAGCCGTAAGGTTCCCCTGCTTCTGCTTCCTAATCTTATTAGTTCTTTCAAACTCATAATTCTGAACACATGCATTTGCTGATGATTAACAGACAAGTGAGTTTTCTCTGGGGTTAAATTAAAATGTGCATGAATGAGAGGTTCCCTGTTGCAAAATCTGAACCCAGCAATTAAGTAGAAGCTGGTTATCTTCTATAAAGTGAACTCAACTGAATTAGTTGATCAGCTTCAAGTAAATGTTAATGAATAAAAATTCCTTTTAAAATAAACAAATACGTTTACCTGCATGAAACATGTGGAAGGATACTCAAGAACCTGGAAAGATCTGTCTCCTTCAGGGAAGGAACTGGGATGTTCAGAGACAGGATGGAAGGAAAACCTTTCAGCTGATTACGTTTTGGTACCATTATGACTTTTAAACCAGGTAAGAATATTATTTATTCAAAAGGATCCAGTTAAAGCTTTTAAGAGAGAGAATGAAAAGCCCATCCTACTTTCCTGCTATTGTCAAAATTGGCTCTCTCCAAAGTCTACAGATTTTTCCTCCTAGCCTCATCTTTTTGGCATCTGTTCTTCAATAATTCTTCTTCCTCTGCCCAACAGCTCTGCAATCACAGAGGTTAATGTTTCTTTGACCCTCTGTGTACAAATCTGGCTGAATTTACATACCCATTTTACTTTTTTGTATTCAATATATACTCATGTTTCCATAAAGGAACCAAAATGGCCCATGATATAAGGCCACACAACATCAGCTTGAATAAAATGTGAAAAGAAATAGGAAATCAGGATCCTGGAAATAGGTTGCATCCTTTTAAGGGGTGAGAATGACTGACTGAGTCAACCAAGGATTTGGGAGAGGATCTCATATTTCCAAATGTCCAACTCTTAAAATTTCACTAAGTGGGAATATAGCTTGTGGCCATACTGACCTGAGAGAATATTATGATATTTTTCTTTACTCATCACTTGGATGCAAAGTTATAAATGACAAAGTAAGTGAAGGGGGAAAAGTAGACAGCTAAGAATCATTTTCTGACTCTCAAAAGTAGGGACCTCACCTAGAGTAGGGTACTCCAAAATCATGAAGGAATCATCTTGATTTACTAAATTTTCTAGGTGGCACAAGTCTCTGTCATTTGACCCGTAGCAGCCAGATGGAACTTAGAAAGGCAGTGAAAAGCTGCTCAACTGAATGCATGTCATGTGACCAGGAGCATGTCAGTTCAAGTGAAGATGCTGTGGAAGGGCAATTCACCTTGTGTTTGAGCATCCTCAGGATGTGCAATGGGAGATTCAGTACCTGCTCTGTCACACAGGGACCCACCAGCCTCTAAACTCATTTTTCCTAGGAAGCTGAATTCCAAAAGTCCATTAAAAAAAAAAAGATAAAGCCTCTAATAGATAAATTCTATCAGAGCCTAGTATTAAGAGCTGTAGAAGTCACAAGTTTCCCATGATAGAGCCTTAGCAGAGTAGATCCTGCTAAGGAAGTGACAGAAAATTTATACCAAGAGAAAAGGTGGAGGAGTCTGTCTACAATTCATGAAAATGATGTCTGCACTTGACCTGATGGAAATCGGCAAAATTCATAACAGCTGATATATTTGCATGCGGAACTGAGAGTGCATTTAAATTTTTAATTTCTCTGAATTATCACATAAGATTCAGAAGATGCTCTCTTTGCCCAGAAGCCACCCCACTGGGGTAACTGGGCCTGAGGCGTTCCTTTGCCTATGACCCCTACCTGCTAACAGACTGGCAGCCTGGCCTCAAAATCCAGTCACTGCTCCCAGTGCAGTGGTGGCTGAGGGGTCAATAGCTGCAAAGTCAAAGCCCCTTACAACCTCCTCATCCCTCTGTGCCACCCACTGCCCCTACTTACCATTGATGTTCAGGAAGGGGAAGGTGTCCTGGATGGGAACATGGTGCTGTGACTGATCGAGCTCATCTTCCTCATCTTCGTCATCCACATCATTATCCTTCTCATCCCAAGGAGCAGATCCAGTGGATCCTACCCAAGAAACAGACATACAAGCCCGTAAGTGGGCCGCTCAGGCTGCACTGTCGCCCCTGCAGCTGACCCACTGTGCCAGCTAGGGAGTGCCAGCGAGTTCAGTGTGCACCCCCAGTGCCCTAGCCAAAGAGTGGGAACCAAGAGTTCACCCCAGTTCCAACTCTTCCTACAGAGCCTGAGCGCAAGCTCGTCCTCTCCTATCCAGGAACTGCAGACCCTAGTCCCTTCTCCTAGAAATCTTTTAATTCCTACTCTACACCTCTTCCTACACTTTAGCATCCCTTTTAAGGACTCACGGACTGCAACTTCTCTCCTCTGTGAGCTTAAATGTGAGGACAGACCCTCCTCTCATGGCAGGGCCTCACTGGATTCACTGGAGGCCAAGTCTCAATTATCTGGCTCGTAATCAGAACTCGTTAAACGTTGAGTAAATAGGAGGATTGGGTAGTATTCTTCTAGCAAAAGTGTCCTACAAATTAAATGATCACTCACCCATCGTTCATAAAGAGAACTTAATAGCTGTCACATGTCATGTCAACTGATTCTCAGACTAGCCTTTGAAGTAGGCAGGAAAGCTGAGAGCCCAGGTTTCACAGTGGAAGAAACTGAGGCTCAAAAGTTCAAAGGACTGGATTCAATGTCCCACAGGTAGTGAAGTGAAAAGAAACAGGGTTAGAACTCAAACCTTCTAAGTTTTAATCCCTCTTTATTCTGAACTATCTGGCCTCTCTTCTCAGTGCTGAGTCCCGCGAGAAGTTATTTTTACAGAACTCTATACTCCCTCTACTTTCTAATGCTTTACTGTTCCACTGAGCGAGCAGGAAGACTTTGCCGAGTTTCTGTCTTTTGTTCTCCGGGCCCTTCCTAGGGAAAGGCTTTGTTGTTTACCAGTCTTAAACTCTGGCAGCGAGGCATTTTTCAAGTCAACTGTCTCTTTAAGGGTCCAGCCCGGAGCCTTCTCGCCAGCAGCTGGGTCCTCACCTGGGTTAATGATTGAGCCCTGGGGCTGGGGGATGTCACACACTTGATATATTTTCACTGGGTTCATGGGCACCTCCTTGGTGCCATCATACATCAGGTTGAATTCCCTGCTCTTGTTGAGAGCACAGCGGAGCTGGGCCTTCCATTTAGCTGGGTCAGGGTCATCCACCCCTTCCTGGTACTTCCCGGTCTCCACGGCCCAGGCCTGAAGGATAGGAAACTGCAGTGAGTGCCTGTTGTGGCCCAGAAACTGCAAAGTGTGCCCACCTTCCCTCATACAGACAAGACACACATACCCCAGCCTGACCGCCCCATCATCCCAACCCCAAAGTAGAGAGCCTGCAGCAGGAAACACCACCCTGGGGACCAGGCAAGACAGGGCCCAAGGGAAATTAAGCCACACGCAAATACCGTCTTTTGAAAAGAGGAGACTTATCTCAAGTGTTGGTCCCAGCACCACCTGTCAAGACTACAATGGCCATAATGAAGGGCTGAAAAGAGAAGTCTGGAACAAATACACACCAAAATGCTAATGGTAAATGTAGAGAGCAGGATTTCAGGTAATTTCCTTTTAACTTAGTTGGTCCCCTGTCAGTCTTTAATCCGAGGCCCAAATAACTTTAGAAACCAAGTGCCTTCAGGGGTAACAGCCTGTAGGAAGGCAGGAAGCACACTCTGGGGGTTCAGTTTGCTTCACCTTGAGGCTGAGGGCCTCAAGTCCTAATAAACTCACACCCCCTGCCTCTCCCTACATCTTCAAACTCCCACGTGGGAAGATTTTGCTGGAAACACCAGTGGTTGGTGGCCAGGGCTAAAACCACTTTGGCCCCGCCTCTCCAGTTTTCCATTTCCAGGGCTAACAGGCATTTATGTTTCTGCTCACAGGAGGTCCGCCCTCTCCCACGGCAAATGTATTCTCAGATCTCTGCGCTTTCTTCAGGAGTGTGACATATGTTCTTGTGCAGAAAAGGGGGGTGTCATTGGCAGAGTTCAGGATCAGGAAGCACACACCAGCTTGTTCCAGTGGATAGGGCATATCACTCGTCCAGTCCCAAATCCTTGCCTCTGCTCCTGAACACAGGCTTCTTCCTCAAGCCAAAATGGAATTTTTCTGCCCCATCCTTTGAGATCTCTGGTCTCCCTCAGTCACTCCGTGCAGAGCCTCAGAATCATGAGGCAGTTTCCTCCAATAGCTAATCTAAATCCTTCTCCTCCAAGTCACTCACTTGTTCTTACCATTTTCCCAGAGCCAGGTGCTCCTCTGCTAGTTTTGCAGTATGGGATGAAGAGGTTTGACAAAGTTGCTGCCCTGGGTGAGTGACTCAGTAGGCACCATTCCATCCAGCCCTCTGCAGGGGATTTCAACCTCGCTGGTCCTTAGTGTCGGAGAGGCACAACTCCAGTTGTGCCAGGTGGTACCTGGCTGCTGTTTTCCCCTCTGTTTGTTTGATCCTCGCTGTCCACTCCCCTGCTAGACCCACCCAGCTGGCTGACGCTGTGCTGACTTTGGCCCAGGTCTGCAAATTTCTGTGGCTCCCCAAATCCCTGCCCTTCCATGGAGAGCAGCCAGACTAACCCAGAACCTCAGCCCCAGCCTTCCTGCTCACAACACAGCCACTCCCCAGGGCCCACTCAGGTGGTGCTAAGGACCCGAGGCTGAGGCAGCAGAGTGGTACCCACCACATGGCAATCACTGTGATCTAGAATCACTCCTTGTTCAAACCCATTCTGAGTCTTGCTTCTGAGATTTTGGTCACTGGGTGGGCCCCTATTTCTCTACCTAAAACGGATATAGTCTCTGCATGTGTATGGTAATTTACAAGTCCCTTCCCACACTTTATTTCACTCAATTCCCACAACAGTCCTGTGAGGCAGGCAAGACTGGTTTCATCCCCGTCTTACTGAAGGGGAAGCTAAAGCCCAAAGAGATGATGCGACTTGTCCGAGACCACGCGTGCAATTGACGGTAGCAGGATCTGAAGCCAGGACTTCCGACTGCTGGTCAGAAAGGGCTGTATGAAAATGCAGGACCAGACAGGCCTGGGTCCAAATCCTGGCCCCATCACTTATTGGCTGTGTGATTTGGGCAAATTATGTAGCCTCTCTGAGACTCAGCTTTCGCATCTACAACATGAGGGTGACGCCCCCCCTTAAACAGTTGTCGTGAACTAAATGAGATAATGGTCACAGGGTATACAGTAGGCACTCACTTAATGCTAGTCGTCACTCCCCACACCCCACATCCTGCCAGAAGCCTGTCAGAATGTGGGATCTGTGAAAGCACCTCCCTCTTCTCCTGACTCCCAAGGCCCTCCCTTAGCATTCTGTAAACAGATACACGGATATAAATAAGACAAAGTAGCTCCCCACAGACGTCCTTAAGCCCTAAGCACACAGATCACTCTCGTGAGCCGGGCTTTCAGGAACCAGCCTCTTCCCCGACAGCCAGCTGCCACCAGACGCTTCAACAGCAAAATCAGTTTCAGACCAGGGCCACAGCGAGAGGCCAGCTAGGCCAAGGTAGGCCCATTCCCCCTCTGATGCCAGCTCAAATAATGGATGCTGGTTTACAGATGTTCCCCTTATCACTTTTACATCATTATGTAATTTTTAAATTAAAAGCATTTCTTTACTTGCTAAGTACTCTCGGGCCTATTTTCTCTCCACCTCTCATCTCTCTGCTTAATATAACTGAGCCGGGCAGGAAACAACTCCAGGATGGCCCTCCTTTGAGATATGCGCCCACCTTTCCCACTACAATCTCAGCAAGAACGCTGGGGCATCAACCTTGAGAGGCCCAGGGTAAGGACTGGATTTTACCTCTGATTTCCAACTTATAGTCAGGGAAGAAATGGGTAAACTCACTTCTCCACGTCTTGAGGGTGCAGAAACTAAAGCTACTCAAGAGGTGGAAGACTGACCAGTGCAGAGAAGCTGGTCTGCATCAGAGGCACGGGCTTCAGAATTACAAACCACAGAACACCCTTCCCACGAGCAGTTTCCCACCTACTTCTGTCTGAGACTTTGGCTTCACTTTAATTTTGTAAAATGCCACGTAATTAAGTCTTATTTCCAGTTAAGCAAAATAACTCTCATATCAGAGCTATTCTTTATTTAAGAAAACATATTTATAGAATAAAAAAGCTTGTAATTAAGTCATCTTTTAAGTGGAGGTTATAGATGGGGCAAAATATTTTAATTTCAAAAGAAAAACAAGCAGAGGGCCCTCAAGACCCACCCTCCAGGCCATGTTAGGGGTTCTGCCCTGGTCTGGATAACCATTTCCCTGGCCCAAGCACCTCCCTCCAAAGCAGAACACCTAGTGAATGAAGAGGAATTGTCAATTGTTGGCTGACCCTTGGGAGCTCTAGGAACAAACACATCCTACCCACACTTCCAGGAGTTTAGGCAACTGCACCAGGGATCCTTTGGGAAATGATTTCGTGAGTTGAGTACCTTTGACCGATGGGAAAGATGGGAAAGAATACATGGCCTCAACCATAACAGACGTGCCCCAACAAGAGAAATTACTATGCTGGCTAAGTTTGCTTCCCCCCTACATCATAAACATTCTTTCTGTTGCATCAGCAACAGATCTAGTACATTCCTCGTGCCAAAATTGAAAACAGAACAGAACAAGGAACCAGAAAGATCAGAGAGAACTGGAAAACATTTCGAGTCAGATTCTAGAAGACGTTTACCTTGAAAATGGTATTTTCTTCCTCCTGTTGGGGGCTATGCCGGGTGGCATGTTTCCAGGGAATCTGGAAGCGTTTGGAGTCTCTGTGTAGCCAGATGAGCCCAGGGTACAGGCCACTGTCCACTTGGGCCACCAGCCAAGGCTTCAGCCGAACTCTGCGGGGGTGGAGGGCCATGATCTGGGTTGGGGGGAGGGGGGAGAAGTGGCGAAAGCAGGAGAATTAGGCCAGCCCCTGGGAAAAGTTCCCAGCCACTGTTCCCGCTTGATAGGGCTACAGTTTCATTAGATTACTGCCAAGAAACTGAATATGGGAATCAACTGTGCCAGGTGGGGAAGGAAAGAAGAGAGGTTAAAAGGTTCTTTTGATTCTTATTCCAAAGCCATTTATACTTCATGCTCTAGCCAAATCAGACTTATCACGTAAGTAGATCGCATTTCTTCTGTTTAAATCCTGAAGCAGAAAAATAAAAAGATGATGTCATCCCTGCTGGAACATAGTCCTTCCTGAAGTACCAAGGGCTTTGGAAGAGAAGGGAAATTGCTCTTTTTAATCTCATCTCAGGAGAGGGAAGAAAAAAGTTATGGAAACAGCGAGGATATGGGCAAGAACTTGAGGCACACTCTTTTTAGACAACAAAGGCGAGTGGGAATATTTTCATAAGAAATGACAGCATCGTGATGAGAGAAAAGTAAGCGAGGGACAGGTCCTGGTTCCAAAGTCCTCACTTACATAGATGAGCAGGCAGTGTATCCACGGGGATCTGAGAGCTGGGCCTCAAGTCAGCTTTCCTTTCTCTGGATCACTCAAAGTTTCTGTACAAAAAAAAGGGGGGAGGGGGCCCAAGCTGGTTATCCACGAGACAATGCAGTGTCTGGGAGAAGGCTTGGGAGCAGTGGAGACAAAGCCTGAGAACCCTTCCCTGTAACTGAGTCTGAGAAAGCTCAGAAGCCCTGCCAGGGCAGCCTCCTCACCTGGGTCTGTTTATCTACCCACAGAGACTGAGATGAACTGATTGGCTGCAGGAGCCAGCCTGGGTAAAGTCTGCAATTGATTCTCATAAAAACACAAGGGCAGAGCGAAGCGTAGCAGAGAACATCCAGCAGTAGCCAGCACTCACAGCGGGGAAACAAAAGCCTGCCCAGATTGGGCACCTAAAGGAAAGACCATCACTGGACAACTGGTTGCCTGGGATGCTGTGTTTAGCTCTTTTGGTGTTCTTACTTGACTTTGTTTTTTAGCTCGGGTGAGAAAGAGATGCCTGCAAAATAATGTTCATTCAACAAATATTTGATCGTCAGCTCCTGTGTGACAAGCATGGTGTTAGTTACCAAACACCATGTTTTCATCAGACTCCCTGAAGAAATCCACGCTGGAGCTGCTCAAACCCCATGATGGCATGAGGAAAGGGACATAATTGAGTCACCTTGACACACACAAAGATTCCCACCTGGATCACAGTTCCGAAACCAAACCAGTCGAGTCAGCTGGGGGCTCCCACTTGCAGGAGCTTAGCTGAGGCGGTTGCCCCCGTAACCCCACTTCTCTCCCCAGCCAGGTACCCAACAAACGGGAAAACTCAAACCCAACTCAAACCCAACTCGGCCACTGGCACTTTAAGAGCAAGGCTGGACCTGCTCTCACCTGAGCCTTCTGACCCAGTTACCAAGTCCTGCAACTGAAACTCTCCCCCTGGGAGCAAAGCTCACGGTGGGCATGTGACGTGGCTCTAGTGCCCCCCACCCCCAAGTTCTTGGCCTTAGCTTAGGTGGCTTTGTAGGGCAGCAAGTCAAGCCATCACACCCCAAAGAACATTTACCTCACAAGGAGGAGGGAATGCATATTCTCCCCAGGGCAAGTTCTAGCCTTCTGTCCTCAGTCCTGGCCTCTGTGAGGGGCATGGGGCGAGGGAAAAACAAAGAGAAAAGGGAAGTGGGCAGCAAACTGGTCAACCTAGTGAGGGACTTTTGAGAATTTCTATTGCAGTACTGGTCAGTCCCTCCCCTGGGCCTTGCTGACACGTCAATTCTGCCTCTTGACGCATCACGGGCTTTGAAGAAAAGGCCTCATCCTAGCTGATCCACAGCACATCAAGAAAAAATTAAGGCAACCAGGCCAACACAAGGAACTGCACGTAGAGATGGGGAGGGAGACACAGCCACCCATGGAGACCGACGATTAAGATCTAGAGCCCTGTGTTCTCAGCATTCTCCCAACATGGCACCACATAGGATGGCACCTGCCCCAGCCTCCTCCTCCAGGCCCCACCTCCAGCCGGGCTAACCCTGTCCACCTTCGGAAAGTCAGCCAAGATCTCCTCCACCTGCCACCCAGTAACAAAGATGATAAAAATGGGCAGAGAGGGAAAAACTGGAAGCAACTGAAATAACAGAGGAACGTGGCTAACAAAACATTCATAGGCTGCTGCATCATGCAGCCATCGTGGCATCTGAAGAATTTTTACTGGATTTGGAAAAATGTTTAAATAGGTAGTTAAGGGGGGAAAAGGCATCATACCATATTGACTGGATAGTAGTGTCTCCATCTTGTAACATAACATGCACTTGCATACATACACACGTAGAATAAAAAAAGGGAAAGAAATAATACACCAATGCAATAAGAAGTTCTTAATGGTAACCTGGTGATAGGATTATGGGTGAATTTTATACTTGCCTATATACTTTCATATAGGATTCACATTTTCCTACAATGACATGTTTTGATTCATAACTTAAGAACCAAACACCACAAGGAGTATTTTTTAACCACAGGAAGCTAAGACATTTCTTGGCCACTGGAAGGTATAAAAGATGATGGCCTTCAGCTAATTAAACCATGGTAACAACAACACTTTTTATCTACATAGGCTTTACAGTTTTTATGTGCAGTTTTACTTAAGTGTCTGATTTCATCCTCATGGTGTGGAGGTGGTATTACTATCATCCCCATTTTACAGCTGAGTTAACTGAGGCACAGAAAAGTACTTTACCTGGGGGCTGGACCCAACACTTCTAAGTCAGAGTGTGCTGTACCAAATCCTGCCACTACACTCAGACTTCCAGGTCCTTCCCTTCTATACACCAAGAAAGTAAGCCAAAAACATCAACAAAGATCCAAGCAACATGGAGGGCCAATGAAGTGGTTAGGGAGGAGCTGCATGACACCCACCCCAAACGCACCTAAACCAGAGTTCTCTTTCAAAATACTCTCACACTCAAATCCCAATGCCCATAGAACTACCCTAGCCTACTTGAACTCAGCCCTGGTATCTCTAGCTGCCATCAAAGTGAAATTCAAGGCCTGTGTCTCCACCAAGTATTCAACCAGCCAAAGAACATAGATGCTAACCCATCCACTCCCCTCACGTGGGGAAGTTTTCAGTCTCCCCAAGGCATGAACCATCCTCTCTCACACCCCTACTCCAGGGAAGAGGGCCCCTATAAACATCCCCACTGCACCTCTGCAGCCCCTTCCCAGATCAGTTTTCAGGGACACCACCAGCCCAAAGCCAAGATTCACTGTCAATGGTTTTACTCAGAGTAAAACACACCCCTCATTTCTTGCAGACAGGCATCAGCAATGGTTCTGCTTTTTCCCTTCCTCCTGGAGGGACCTGAAATGCCATCTTCCAAGTTCCTCAGTCTTTCCTCCATTTAGTTTAGCCCAGTTTAGGGGTAAATTCTGGGCCACTAGCCATAATTCCTATGCCCTTCCTCCCTGCTTGATCAAAGTTGGGGGTTGGTGAGAGGGAGCTACAGGGTATTGAGTGCTGGTGTTATGCATTATAGATACATCTAACCCTAAAGGACTCTCCTAGACCAGTACTAGTCATTACCAACCCCTACTCAAACCCCTTCTCCCTCTCCCTTCCCTGGCTTCCACTTTTGACATCCACCAAGAGAGGAGGGTTGGGGCAGGGATGGGGCAGGGGTGACCCCTCTTCCACACAGCTCGCTCCCTGTAAAGAGCGGCACCCTGGGCCTGCTTTCCAGCCAGGCCTGGAAGACTTTCCTCACTTCTCCACACCCGCCCTCCAGCCCCTTCAGGCAGGAGGGCCTCACCCCCAGAGCAACCACACCCGGCACCACCCTCCCCAGCGCCTAGCTTGGCTACTTGGAAATCCACGGGTGTCTCCCAGGGCCAGGGCCAAGGGCTCAACTGTGCTAAACAAATTCCAGGAGAGAAAACACACTGGCTAAAGTTACTGGCCGTCCCTACCCTCAATTTCCCAAGACACCCACCAGAATTAAGGGCGAGCCGGCCTAAGAAATTCCCTCTTTGGGATACAGCTGGTAGGATCCGAAGGGTGGAGGCACCTGAGCTCTACCCGATGGCTGGCGGGTAGGTGCTGAGAGCAGTACATTTCAGCTGGGCAGGGAGGGAAAGGGAGTCAACAGAAGTGGGGGCTGGGGGGTATTGTTGGGAAGGGCCTAGCTCTCCAGGGCTAGGACCCGTCCCAAAACCACCTGGAGCAGAGCGACGGACACCCAGACCCAGAGGGTATCCCCAAACAAACAGATGTCCTTAAGCAAACTTTCCTCACCCCACAAACCCTGGAGGGGACCCTTCTCCACCAGCGGGTGTGTTCTCCCTCCCTTAAGCCAGTCTCCAGAAGTTGGCGTCCCCACCTTTTCCTCAATCCGGCTGCCAGAAGCGGACGTTCCTCCGAACCAACTCCCCAGTTAAGATCGTCCGTCCCACCGCGCTCCTCCACCGGCTAGGTAAGAAACACCTGGCTCTGCGCAGGTAGGGACCGCGGGGTCCGCTCCCGGTCCCGCACCGGCCCTTACCTGCCCAGCCCAGGTGCTCCGAGATCACGTCAGAGCCTCGCCGGAGGACGCCGCAGCCCCCTCCGCCGTCCAGCCACGCCCCCAGGTGTGGCCACGCCCTCCTGCGTTCAGGATTGGCGGGTTGCGAGAAATATGATACTCTGTGTTCCTGAGCGGCCCGGCCTCGCCCAGACCGTCCCCCACCGCCCTCCCCCGCTTCTAACCCGGGGTGAGAAAATTCCCAGATCGGGGCCTAGACTTCAACCCTCGGGGCTGGTGGTCTGGGGAACTGGAAGCAACTGGGAGGTCAGATCTAAGTCAAGGAGGTGCCTCCTCTCCTTAGTGCCCCATACTCACCCTGCGGTATGGAGACAGTTAACCACAAATAAGGGGTTAGAGATTGGGAGTTGGCCCTACTACCTGTGGGCCTGTGTAAGGGAGGCAGGACACTTGGTTCCTTCTGATGGAAGCCCTTGGCTTCTAGGGCAGGAATTCTGCCTTTACTCTGTCTCTTACCCCTATTACCCTGGATGAGTTACTTAGACGCTTGGTTTCAGTTTCCTCATCTATTCAGTGAGAATAATAGAATAATAGTTCCTGCCTTTTCCAAACGCTATCTGGCAATGATTAAAAGCCTGGCCTCCGGAGCCAACTATTGAGATTCAAACCCAACGCCATCAGTTACTACAGACTTGGGGAAGTTTTTTAAGTTCTCTGGGCCTCAGTTTTTTATCTGCAGAGTGAGGTAAATAATGTTACCTCTTCAAGGGGAGGGGTTGTGGGCATTCGAAAAATTCATGTAAAGTGCTTGGCACAGTATTTGGCATCTCCCAAGTGCAGTATAAAGCCTTACAATTTTTATTGGTATGAGGATAAAAAGTATCATATATACAGTGTCTCACAGAATAAAATGATATCTTCTATTATTACCTGAGGTTCAAGGCCTGTATGTCCTGTAAGCACTGAGCTGTCACAGGTAAGAAGGGGCGTAAGGAGGAGACTTAGGTTTTGGAGTTTAAAAGCAATGAGTGAAAGACCCTGAGGGAGTAATGTTAGGGACTGAATTGTGTCCCCCCTTAAATGCAGATGTTGAAGTCCTATAACCCCCAGTGTCTCAGAATGTGGCCTTACTTGGAGAGAGAGCCTTTACAGAGGTAATCAAGTTAAAATGAGGTCATTAAGGTGTGCCCTAATCGAATATGACTGGCATCCTTACAAAAAAAGGGAAATTTGGACCCAGAGACAGATAGGCACTGAGGGAAGAGGACGGGGAGAGTCCCAAGCCATCTATACGCCTAGGAGACTAGCCTAGGACAGATCCTTCCCGCAAAGTCCTCAGAAGGAACCAACTTCACAGACAACTTGATTTTGGACGCCTAGCCTCCAGCCTTGTGAGACAATACAGTTCTGTTGTTTGGGCCACCCAGTGTGTGCTACTTTGTCCCCAGAGCCCCAGCAAACTAATGTAGACAGGTTGGAGGGCTCCAGGTTGGTCATAATGTGGGCTTGACTCCTGGTTCCAATTCAGCCTGGGGACACAGCCAGCCAGGCAAGGCAGCGAGGCCCAGAGCCTGACTCAGCCAGCCTCCGTCTCACCCCTGCTTGTGGCTACTCTTCCCTTCACGGAGGGTAAGAGAAGGGCTCTCTCATCGGCATGGCCAGCCTATGACTGCTGGTGAGCTCAGTGAGCAGGGAGCATCTTCCATCTGGCCCAGTGTTGGGCTCCTGAGAGCAAGCAAACAGTCTGCTGCAGGTGTGTGTGACGGAGGCGGGGAGGACCACCAGGACAGTGTCATTTGAAGGGAGCCAAAAGCCCAGTGACATACAAGTATGGGCCCACACACAGACATTCCCTTGTGCTGAAATCCCCATAACTAAGATGATTTCTTAAGGATTTTCTTTGAAAGACACATATTTTGGAATCAGAAAATTCGAGCTGTGAGGGCCCCTCAAATCCTCTAGTCTATGGGTAAAACTGGCTTAGAGATGTTTGTTTAACCCAAACCGTTTTTTAAACACCAGATTTCACATAAACATCCAGATTCTCAGCATCTCTTGAGGAGTCAAATGCTCTGAACTCCCTGGACCAGCAGTTCCATCAGACAACAGCTGCCTGTTTAGGGGGTGTCCACACGGAACAGTCAAGGACAACCCTATTGGATTTTCTCATTTACTTTAATTGCCTGATCCTGTAGGCAAATGAGTTTGCAAACTCTAGTCCAAATATCCCTTTTTTAAAGATGAGAAAACTGAGGCCCAGGGAAGTCAAGTGATTTGCTTAAGGTCACCGAGCATATTAGCCACAAAGCCAAGACTAGAACCCAAGCCCAGGGCTCTTTCCACTTGGCCCCTGCTCAGTGCCCCAGCCAGAGTCTATTCTAACCGGTGCTGCACTAGTTGTTAAATATATATATTTTACAGCAACCATATATCTAGACTTTGTTGATACTATGGTGAATAAAACAAAGTCCCAGCTCTTGTGTCATTCTACAGAAGAATCAATGAAAGGGCATAAAGCAAGAATAATTAAGGTAGCAATCAGGAGGAACTTCCTGGGCTCTTCAAATAATGAGAGCTGGCAGTAGGCCACCTTGAAGTCATCTTTGCTTGAAACATACCACATCTGCTTGGCCTGAGAAGCAAGAACATCTTGTGAGCCCGTGCAAGGGCTCTAGAGGCATTAATACTTCTATGTTCTCAAAAGATCTCTCTCGGGATTCAAACATCCCCACTGTGCCTTGAGCCTACAATGTTCCCAGTGTTTTTCCCTCCATCCTTGCTCAGGTGGGGCACTGCTGACTCACTTGTGAGTCTGAGTTTCAGGCAGTGGGATGTACGTCTCAGCACAGGAGTCCTGATTCACAACTACAGAGAATTGGGGAATTTCCCTCTCCGACTCCCAGGCAACTCTTACCTGGTGAGGAGGGGTCTCTTTCACCACCTAGAGGCCTCAGCCTCTATAATATCAAACACATGACAGTAATGTGACCCAAATCCAACTCTCTTCTTTGACAGAGCAGAGGGCATGGCGACTGGAATCTTTCCTGATGGCTCGGTGACAGTGAAGAGTTTAGCATCCTCGGAATCAATGACAGCCAATAGTCGCTAAGACTGGGCTGCATGTCAGTGGGGCTGCTGAAGAAGGAGTGGGGACTTCAAGCTAAACAATCCAGTTCTGTGCTCTCTCAGAGGAACTTGGACCCCAGGGAGCCTCTGGAAGGCAATTCTGGAGGCCATCAGGTAGCCCCCCAAGTCCTTTCTGCACCCTGGTTTATTTCTGGCTCCATCCAGTCTTGAGACTGCAGATGAGCCCAATACATTGCCTAAACCACACCCTAAATGGTGACACATATTGGTTATTGACCATTCCTCTGTCCCCTTATCCTCCATAGGCGGCATCCCAGAATGCAATCCAAATCCTAGAGTCATTGAGACTTCTGCCACGGAAGCTGCAGCAGAAATAAATCCGTAAATGAATCTCACATTCCAATCCAGACAGTGCCACAGACTTTGGTGGGGAACTTTAGGAGAAATCCTCACCAAAGTGTTCAGAGTCATTTGTTTCTCTCTTTATATCCTGGAACCAAGCTGACCACTGGTGTTCTCAGGAGAGCAGCTGTCTTTACTCCAAACTTGGATCTGTGTGAGAGGAGGAGGAGGGAAAAACAAAGCTGAGTAAATCCCTTGGAAGTAAGCTGCCCCCTGCGGCCCTCCCTCCATTCTTCCTCCTTTCGCTGCCTTGTCCCTTGGCAAAGGAGGCTTCCATTGGATCTGCAAAGAAAGGAGCCAAATAAGAAGTTATAGCAACCACAAGCAGAAGGATTTGCAGTCTTGATTTCAAATGCATTGCCCCGTTGAGACAGAGCAGTGTCCGGATTTTGACTTCATGGTCAGCACCAAACGACCTATCGTGTGATTATCTGCGGCTGATAAATGACACCGTGGCTGTAAAAGCTCTCTGAAACTGGATCAGGGCTGCGGGGGTGCGAGGGCTCATCGCTGCTATTATCTGCTCTTCGTTTCCTCCTGCAAATCATTCTCTCCAGGCCTCAGTCAAGTCCTTGAGGGCAACAAGGCACAGCCCAGACAAGAACTCCTGCAAGCCAGGGGCTCCTAGCCCAGGGCTAGGTGTCTGGTCCAGACAATGTGTTGACTTCAGAAAAAATGAATTATCTGGGGATACAGAATCTTTGGTGCTGGCAGTATGGTAAGAAACTGGACTTCCATTCAGTAAGACTGATCGACCTAATGTGTTTTATCTCATCTCCCTCCCCAGGCCATTCCAGTAAAATGATACTGAAGGAAACAGAAAAAGACATTAACCCACAAGGTCCTAGCTTTTATCCCAGAGGATAAAAGCATGAGAGGGGAGATAAGAAAAGATAAGAGATTTCAACAGAAAATATTAGGCGATGAAACATTATTTCAGCAAAAGTGAGGAGTGGGGACAGCTGATGTTTTGACTATAATACTTTTAGTACTATTTGATTCTTTATGCAGATATGCATAATAGAAGAAAAATATTATCATTACTTTTTTTTTTAAAGAAAGAAGAAAGAGCACCTGAAAGCCAGGGGTCCTGGGTGTCAGGGCTTCCTTTGGCACTCGGTGACAGCAGAGCTTGTCATTGTCACTGTGTGAGCCTGAGCCCCTTCATGTGAAGGAGCTGAGCAAATCCCACAGTCACCCTGTAGTTCTAATGATTCCTAGCTCTGTGAGATTTCCCTTCTCTCAGTTTCTAGCTGTGTAAGTGGTTGGGCTTCAGTTTACTCCCCTCACGCATAAAGAGACTGCCTATTTCTCAGGATTGACAAGAGGATTAAATGAAATAAATAAAGCAAGCAAATCAGTTAAGCAGCCAACGTGATTTTTCTCCACTGTGACACCTCCTGTCTTTAGGCAAGGATCTGGCCCAGGTCTGGGCACCAGGCATTCGCATCATAAAAATCTGAAGGATTCAGAAATGAGTTACTATCTGTTTATCCTTGGGGCAGGGAGACTGTGAAGCTCCTCATTTCTGTTTATTGGATTAGGGGCAAGGTCCAAGTATGGATCTCAAAGCCTAGT